AATACTTCATGGATGTACTCCCACGAAGCAAAGATCCATAAATGAGGTAGTAACTTAAGAAAAAGTGTAAATAAAATGTCACATCCCCTGTTTACATGCAGATCTATTAGATAAATATGGTTAAATGGAGGTATGTTAACAATAATTATAGTTTAATTTTTTTTTTTTTTTGGTACTGGGATTGAATCCAAGGGTACTTAACTACTGAGCCACATCTGTAGCCCTTTTTATTTTTTTATTTGAGACAGGCTTTTACCAGGTTGTTTACAGCCTTGCTGAGTTGCTGAGGTTGCTTCAAACATGCAATCCTCCTGCCTCAGCCTCCTGAGCTCCTGGGATTACAGGAATTAACATTTCTTGTGTCTGCTCATTAAAAAAGAAAGAAACAATAAATATAACTTACTTTGCAAAACCACAGTGCACGTCATTAGGAAAAGGAGTTTGTACCCCAGATTTGAATAATGTTCATGATTCAGACTTAGGTAGTTACGAGAGGCTAAAGAAATTAATAATGGCCTGTCTTAGAGGCAGAAAGGGATAAGCGAGAATACAACTAAGGTTCCGTTTTTGATCACAAAGAGGAATCGGGGTGAGGTTCTGGAAGGGAAGACAATTTCTAAGAAGCATATGAAACTGTCAAATACATTCCTATGTCTGTCATTACAGATAACACCCAGCAAAGTAGCACCTCCATAGAGGGTGTGGTAGTTCCCAACACTGGAGTGGCTAACTAGTTCAAATATTCAACCAGGAGGCAGTTATTTAAAAAGCATTCTGATTTCAAAAAGGCATGGATAAAAATTGGAAAGAACCCACTCCAAGGATGGATGTGAGGGTATCTTAAAGTGTGAGAATAATTTTAGGGGTTCTTCTGTTGCAGATTGAACTGTATTCCCTCAAAATTCATATATGGAATCCCTAACCCTCGGTATGTCAGGACGTGGCTATATTTGGAGAAAGGTCCTTGAAAGAGCTTATTAAGTTAAAATTAGATAATTATGGTGGGATCTAATATAACATGACCAGTATTCTTTAAGAAAATTTGAAAATACCATGACAGCAGGTATGCAAAGATGGAGTGATGATTACGCAAAGAAAGAGTAAGTCGTTCATCTGCAAGAAAGGCCTCTGAGGAGTCCAACCGTGCCTGCACTTTGATCTTGGACTTCTCTAAAATTGTGAGAAATTGAATTTCTGTTCTTGAAAACTACCCAGTCTGGCATTTTGTTATGGCAGCTCTAGCAAACTAATACAGATTTTAAATGTCAATACAAGTTTAAGCTTTGATAACATTTTCTAAGGGAAAAATGTAAAAGGCCATTTTATTTATTTTCAGAGTCTGGTAGTCATGTTAAGGGTAAGCCAGCTTCGTGGGGAACAGGGTGCCATCTTCATAGAGAAAAGGCAGATCTCTTCAATTTCTATTTTTTTCTGTTCAGCTGAATGATCTTCCAACTGAAAATGGCAGTAGAACATTGATCATTGGTTAAAAAAAAATCATCAAAGATTAGTAACTGGATTTATAGTGTTACAGTTTGTTTCTGGAATATTCCCCAAAGTGTCATGTTTTGAAGGCATAGTCCCCTGTGCAACAATGTTCAGAGGTGGGATTTTAGGAAATGACTGGATTAATGATTTGAATGGACGACTGGGAGATGGTGAAAGCCCCAGACAGGGCAGGGCTAGAGGAAGTAGGTCAGTGGGAGCATGCCCTTGGAGACTATCTTGTCCCTGGTCCCTTTCTTTCTCTGTTTCTTGCTACCATGAGCTGAGCATTTTCCTTCTGCCATACTCTTCTGCCATGATGTTCTGCCTCACCTCAGGACCCTAGCAATGGAGCCAGTTCACAATGGACTGAAACCTCTGAAATCGTGAACCAAAATAAACCCTTTCCCGGACAAGTTGTTTGTGTCATGTATTTTTGTCCTATTTACTCTAATATGGACCAAATTCTTATGTTGCAGTTCTAACATCTCCAAAACCTCAAAATATAACTGTGTTTGGAGATAGGGTCTTTAAAGAGGTAAGTAAGTTAATGAGGTCATCATCAAGGCTTATTTAACTAAAACTGGCATCCTTTAAAAGAGGAAATTTGGACACAGACACACACAGATCTATATATTACGCAAATTTGTCCTCAGATCTGAGGTCACAGGGAGAAAATGGCCATCCGTAAATCAAGGAGCCAGGCCTCAGAAGAAACCAAACCTACTGATACCTTGATCTTGGACTTCCAGTCTCCAGGACCGTGATAAAGTAAGTTTCTAGTTTCTGCTGTTATTTATGTCATCTTGTCTATGTTGTTTCTCATTTGCTATTTTTTTTTTTCCAGTGCTGGTATTGAATCCAGGCAAGAGCACCATTCCCAGGCAACTTACCCAGCATTCATTCTGTGGCATTTTGTTATAGCAGTCCTAGAAAATTAATACAGGGCTCATCTTTTGGCTTGGACTTATGATTACTTTTGATGACACTTATGAGGCACAGACAACAACCTAAACACAAAACGACAGCAACATGGCTTAGCAGCACCATACATAAGACAGAATTGGAAGATTTGGTAGCAGGTGTGACCAATTGGAATTCACAGTGGGATGCAGCTACCAAAGTCAGCATTAGGTTTCAGACACAAATGAACCAGAACATATTTGGAGGAGAATAGCCAAGGTGTAGAAGTCACCAGAAACTATGCCATGTATCGCACTGTTTTGACCAGGAATGTGTGATGGGATGCATTTCAGTGGTGAAAAGAATAATTATTAAATCTAAGAGCTTTCACTTTTATAAGTGATAGACTCTCTTTCTTTTTCAGTACCAGGGATTGAGATCAGGGGTGCTCTATCACTGACCTACAGTTTTAAAGACGTAATTAAGTTAATGAGGTCATTAGGGTGGTTCTAATTTCAACTCCTTTAGACATTTTTATTTTTGAGACAGGGTCCCATTACATTGCCCAGACTGGCCTCGAACTTGTGCTCTTTAGCTTCACAAGTAGCTGAGATTAGAGGTGTGTGCCACAGCACTTGACCTCATTTCTATATTTTTAAATCTCATGCTCATTAAAAGTTTCTACTCTTAAAAACTGTTCCCTTCCTCCTGGGACTGGCTTTATGGGCCTGCAACCTGTGTCCTGCATTCAGAAGACTCTCATGCTTGGTTTAATGTTGGGCTGTTACCGTCTTAAACTTTTTAATTTTGGGACAACAAATTCCACGTTTTCATTTGGCACCAGACTTGAGAAAATTTGTAGCTGACCCTGTTCCCCCCATCTCTAAGTCACACTCCTCTGTTTTAGATGCCTTCTTTGCTCATACAAATCTCAGATAAACAGAATCCTGGTGGTGGGTACATGCATTTGGGAAGCAGTATGGTATGGAAGGTCAACAATTGAATTTTTTTTTCACCTTAGTCTTTCCCCTGCAGTCCCAACTTTGTGTGTGTGTGTGTGTGTGTGTGTGTGCACGCGCGCGCGTGTGCGCGCGCTGGGGATCAAACCCAAGGTTTCTCAAATGAAAAACTGGCACTTTGAGGATAGTCCCCAACCCCTGGCTTCCTGACTTATGAGTGGAAATAATCATAGTAATATCATAGCAATGTTTTCATTTGTTTTTGTAAGTGAATGACATAAACCATGAAAACAAATATTGCATAATATATATAGTAATATATAAAAATACACATATATATAAATATATATGCATATATATTTATTTATTTATTTTAGGTCATTCAGGACAAAAAGTAATCCAAGGGTCAGGACTGAATGTATAGAGTAGATGACAACATTTATTGGAGCTGGCAGGTAAATGCTGACTTCTCAGAGCAGAAGTGGGCAGCCTCTGGCTGAGCCATCACTCCACAGCGCAGGAGCAATGAGCAGGAGAGAGAAGAGGCCATTTGCAGTGAAGCCCTAAGAAGGGCCACAGCACTCCCTGGCTTTTTTTCTCTCCCATCAGTACCAAGTGGGCTGTAGTTTGGTGACAGACACCACTTCAGGTCAGAAAAGGGTATATCCTGGCAGTTCTAGACCATTGTACACTAACTGAACACTGGGCATTGTACAGTTTTTGTTTATCTAGGATTAAGTGGCTTTGCATAAGGTTCGTTTCTGTAATATAGGACAGACAATGAAGAACAGGGCCAGAATTTGAGGTCGGAAGTCCTCAGTTACAGGACAGAACAAGAATTACCTCTTAAGATCTCTTCCGTCATAACTTCTACTTTATCTCCATCTGAGATGTTACATTCCTACCTGATATATGCCCCCCAATTCCTATCTCCTCTAAACGCGCGAGCGCGCACACGTAAATAATAAGAGAATAAAACATAAAAACTCCAAAAAACAAAAATATTGCTTTCCAGAAGGAGAAAATGGGTCGCCTGCTTCTTTCCCGGGTCCCGCGTCTATCTATCTCCTTTCGATCTTTCTAAAGATAGAAATTCCAGGTTGTTCGTAGCTGCTTTTGACGGGGAAAAAAACCCCGAGGTTTTTGCTTTCTCAACAAGCAAAAAAATCCTGTTTCCTTTAAGCGTCGATTGCTCCTGTTCTCTTCCAGAAAGGCTTGCCCCACCTCTCCGAACCCAGACAAAAACTGAAATGCGGATAAAAACGCACCCCAGCAGCAGCCCTATATACGACATCCCAAGAGGCCTGCGGGGTCGCATGATTCAAGCTCACGGGGACGAGCAGGAGCGCTCCCGACTTTTCTGGAGCCCCAAACGTCCTACGACTCACCTTTCCCTAATCCTGCACCGTCCCTCCCCTGGCCCCAGACTCTCCCTCCTGCGGTTCCCCGAGCCCTGGTGGGCGGTGGGTGGTGGGTCGGGGAGGCGCGTGGGGAGCCAGAGGCGCCGCACCTGTGGGCGCCGGGGGCGCGGACCCCTCCCGGTGCCAGCGGGCGCAGCTCCGCGGCGGCTCCGCTAGGGGTCTCTCTCGGGTGCCGAGCGGGGTGGGCCGGATCAGCTGACTCTCCGGGCTCCGAGCCCCGCCGCCGCGCTCCGGCTCCGTCAGTTTCCTCGGCAGCGGTAGACGAGAGCACCCGGACCAGTGCGATCGCTGGGCCACCAGAGACGGTGGAGGAGACTCGAGCACAGCAAGGGCGCGGCGGATCCCATTCGCACAGCAGCGCACTCGGTGCCCAGCGCAGGGTCGCGATGCTACCCAGCTTGGCTCTGCTTCTGCTGGCCGCTTGGACGGCTCGCGCGCTGGAGGTGGGTGCTGTGCCCTGGAAGGGGGGAGGAGAGCATGATGGGGATGCGATCCCCCCAAGTCTTTAATTCTGAGAAGCAGGGGGCTGCTAAGAGTGCCCTTCTCCTCGCCACCCCCGCTCGCGGGCCCCCTGCGCATCCCCGCCTCCGGCCCAGCCCTGCCCCGGGGACGCGCGCCCTGGTCAGCGGAGACCGAGCGGGCGAGGCGCGGGGCTTCCCTGGTCCCCGCCAGCTCTGGGCGATAAGGGGAGGGGGAGTCGCTGATCCCAGACCCTGACTCAGCCCTGTCTCGAGATCAGGGTCCAGGGAGGCGAGAGACATCCAGATGGGGGAGAAGGGGAAGGGAGCACGTGTGGAAAACCGAAAACGCAGAGTCCCCGGATCCAGTCTCGGAGCCTTCAGTCGCTGCCCTTCCCTTTCTCTCGGGCCCCCGGGTGGAGGAGTCGGAACCCCTCTGGAAGCTGGGGGTCTCCTGGCTTCTTTCTGCCCATGCCACGCGTTTCACCTTTTCTTCCTACTTCCACCCCTCTTGCTCGCCTTCATCCCTGTTCCTGTTCGCGGTCGCTGGCGGTGGCAGCCTGCGAACAACCCTAGCAGGCGCTGGCGCCAGGGTCGCGCACCGCCTTCCGCAGGCAAACTTTGTACATTTCCGCGTCTCCCTTTTGTGTAAGTTGCGAGAGATGGGAGGGGTCGGAGACCAGCGGCCACTGCACCTTCCCTAAGCCCGGACGTCCCGGGCGTGCATTCGCACCCTCAAGCTTCTCCCAGCCAGGGAGAAAGTCCCGTGGAACAAAAGCGGCGGCACCCCGCCCTCGCCGTCCGGGGCGCGGTGGCTGAGCCGCGGTAGTCTGTGAGCCACCAAGGCTCCCTTCCCAGCGCCGCGCGTCTGCCCCAGAGGGGGCTGGGGCGCTGCTGGGGCCTCCCGGCGGAGCCTCGGGGTCGGGTCGCTCTTGTTCACATCCTTGGATCACCGCTGTGCTTTCATTCTGTGCTGGGCTCTAAAGTCCTTAGGGAGAAATACTGGAGAGTGGGGTGCGCGACTGGAAAGGGCAGTGGCGGGTGGTGGGAAGCAGGATCTCATCCCTCCTGGGCATCAAAGGGGACGTTTGTCTGATTAAGGCGCGGCCTCCTCCCTGGCAGCTCTGGGGATTCTGGTTTAGACCCCCTGAGGGCGCAGGATGGTGGGGGAGAGTCCGCAGGCTCCTTTTTTTAGGGTGCAGATAAAAGGGTTGAACAGAGTGAAGATTAAGACGGAGAAGATGGCGCCTCTGCAGTGCAGCAAAGAAAAGCTGTGTGGAGGCTGCAGCCTGGTGAAATCCACCCACCACTAGGTGTATAACAAGTCTTCCCCATTCACCCAACTCTGGAACATTCAGCTAACGCCTGAGCAAAAAGACTATTTTTCTTTTTATCTGAAGATGCTTGGAAGTTGTTTGCTTGACAGTTGGGGCAGAGGAGATTGCATTTTGCATTGGTGAGGTTCCCGTTTAAGTATCTTACCATTTGCAACCACCCCTCCCCATTTTTGTCCCCTTCTCTCCCCCACCTCGTAGTAATTTTCCAAAAAAGCAATTTCCGGGCAAGTGTTTTTCTGTAATTCCACCGAGACTGTACAGATTGTCACACCATTACAGTTTTTTAGTCCCTAATTTACAAGGTCATTGAACTTTTTTCCCTTCTGATTTTCATCCACAAGTGGCTCAGGAATCACCGGAGGGCTAGTTAAGACAGGCTGGTTTAGGAGTCTAAGAATTTGGTTTTCCATGTTCTTAAAAGAGGCATTTAATTAGGAAATGCTGATTGATGACTTAATATTTTGTTTGTATGAAGATTTTAATTTTCCTGAATTGTCTCACTACAAATTAAAAAACAGAAAAAGCAATTAAAAACACACCATAACCTTTGTTTTGAGAGCTTTTGCCAAAACTTAAATATTTAACTTTCTTAAGCATTTTTTTCTGTATAAAAAGAGGTAACATGTAGGCAGATATGACTTGAATTTACTTTCTATTTGCTTTTTATGCCATCTTTCTGGAGATATTTCTCTGGTTATTATCACCTTTAAAGGCTGGAGATCAGATTGACTTTAGTACATTTTGCAAAGTGCTGGTAGAAGGGTAGGTAATTCACTCTACTGAGGTTTGAAGGGGATTTGTGAAGCTCTGTGTCACTGAACCAATGTAATTATGAGTTGACTATTGAAAATAGGTCTGCAGGTGGCTCTAAAAAAGAAACAAATGACAGCAATGATAATGGGGCCCCAGCTTGCAGGGAAGGGTTGTTATTCCCCCGGTTGATGCTTTTGTCTGGTGTATTGATTAGAGGCATGAGTTTAACAATCCTTGACACGCAAAATATTTATTTATTTATTTACTTACTTACTTACTTACTTACTTAATCACCCATTCATTAATTTTTTTCCCTGTTAGGTTTTGCTTTCCTGCATTAAAGGTTTCGTCTAAACACAATTGTCTTGTGTTGGTATAGTGCTGATTCACAGATGCTAGAAACTTACTGCTACTGATGAGAACTGCCCTAAAAGTAGAATCCTGCACACAGAATAGTGAGGCTGAGATGGTTATCTACAAGGAGTCACCCTTTTTTGCTAATCGGTGGGAAGCCATGATAGGCTGCAAAAGCTACTCTCCTGTCACCCTAAGCAGCAAAGAATCCTGACTATTAGTACTGCAGAGAAGTTACTAGATGGAGCAGCTGTTCTGGTCGGGATTGAGGAAATGAAAAGGAACATGTAAGATTACAAGGTTAAGTTAGGAATGACTAGTAATGACTGCTTAAAAAAAAAGGCAAAGAAATATGATCAATTGAATATTGGTTTCAAGGAAAATGGAGAGGTTATTTTATGGTTAATCAATCTCCTTGTTGCTACAGGATCACTATTTTAAGTTATTGTTTATGGCATACCAGGAAGTTTTTTTGTACAGTTATTTATATGATGATGTAGGTTGTCAGTTGCTCTAGAAATAAGCATAGCTATGATGTGCCTGAAAAAGTGAATGAAAGAAGTTCAATAAAATTCAGTAGAAATTACATTATTTCTGCAAAATGTATTGCCTTGAGACTTACAAAGCATCTTTGATTAATGTGTTTCTTTTAAAGTCTCTACCTTGGTATATCAATCATGTAAGCAAAGATAAACCTACACAAATGACCTGCAAGTGCCAAGCTTCAAGAATGTAAGGTTTAATTTCCTTGCATAGTTCTCATTACTCACTGCCCTTCCCCACCACCCTGAAGTTTGTGGGGTAAATAAAACATGCTCATGATTATGAAAGAACTTATATGTTAAGTTCTAGAAAGAATACATATTTAGCTGTGTATAGAGTGAAAGTGTTATAGGGTAAAAACCTGTATTTAAGGAGTAAAGGAACAATGGATGAGATAATCCTGTAGCATTTCCTGGTAGTAACTTTCCACCTAGGTTTGTATACCAAGTCTGGGGCGTGGAGGCTAAGTCTGTACAGGTATGGTATTTGTTTACATGCCTCTTTTTGCCTTTGCCAGAAGAGAGACAGATAGTCTCTCTCTCTCTCTCTCTAGACTCTCTCTCTCTCTCTCTCTCTCTCTCTCTCTCTCTCTCTCTCTCTCTCTCTCTCTCTGTCTCTCTCTCTCTCACACACACACACACACACATAGGAATGTGTAGGCAGGGCCTTTATCTTCTATTCTCTGTTCCTCCTTTAAGGGTGAGCACAGTGCAGGATTGGACTTGATTAGTCTCTTAATCAAATATTAGGGAAATTTTTACTGATTGACTTCTGGGGCCAAACCCAGTCTCTGAGCATGGATGATATTGCAGTGCTCCCAACCATCTTCTCCTTCACATAGCTTCCAGTCTTCTGGGTAAGACAGATAAACAACAGACTCTATAAGTAGGCACATGAACTGTGACAGTTGCAGGGTATGCTCTGGAGAGGAGCAGGGAATTGGGAATAAGGAGATAAGGGACTGAAAGCAGGATTGAGAAACCTATGGTGTGGGTATCAAGTAGGGTCTTGACCAAGACAGTACATGATGAAAAAGCAATTCTCTGGATAGTAATGAAGGGATGGGTAAAATAATTTTTTTTTGCTTTTGTTTTGTCAAATGCTTCTAACAAGGAACATTATTTTATTAATCACAGGTTCTCAACCTTGATTGCACATTGGAATCATGCGGATTAAAATAAAAACAAAACAAAAACAAAACTCTTGTCAGGACTCCACCCAATGCAGCTAAATAAGATCCTTTGGAGCAATGCCTTGTCATTGGCATTTGGAGAAAAAAACAAACAAACAAACAAACAAACAAACAAAACCTCTTTAGGTAATTCTTAGTAATTCTTATGTGCAACCAGAGTTTTAAGACCAGCTACAAATACACCAACATGAACTACTTGCAAGCTACTTTTTGGATCTTGGAGAAGGTCTCAGCAAGTTGTTCTGAAACCAAAAAGGCCAAGTACTGCCTGGAAGGCTCAGTAGAGCAAGAAATATGGAGAAAAGCAAAAGAAAACACAGGCCATTGTTAAGTGTTTTTATTTCTCTTCAAGCTGTCACACATTAACATTCTTCTTATAACAAGGATTACTAGTAAACTCCATTCATGGGGCTGGAAACTCATGTAGTGTCAGGGAAGAACTCTCCCCTCACCTGGCACACTACCTACACTTGTGAGGTCATGACCCGCAGTGGCCTCAGCTCCAAGCACTAACAGTTGCACGGTGTTTAGGTCTTTTGCTGGTGTGACCTTTCTGTTGCACTTGACCATGAAATCCTTTCCTTTTCATAATGGGATCTTGAATACAAATGTGTGGAACCCAGATGGATGTTAAATACCGGCTTCTGCAAACCCTTGAAATGTTGTCACCCTGTGAGTCTCACAGCCTGTGTCACAGTATACAGACACACCCTCATGAGACACTGGGAGAGGAGAAGGTGGCAGACTGGCAAAACTAAGGGGAAGGAACGAGTACTCCCTGAATGGATGGGATGATGGGCAATAAA